TCTGGGGATACAATGGGTGAACAAAATAGAGAAGGTTGCTCATGAAACTTATTTTCACAGTCTGAGAGGTAAACATTAAACAAAGTAGACATAATATCAGTAAGTGCTAAATACCATGAGCATTACACAGGACATTCAAGGAAGGTCTTTCTTCTTTGGGGACTCGATTGACACGAGGAAGGGAAGCAGTCAGCACTCAAAAAGGGGAACAGCGGCTGGAAAGATAGCTCAGCGGTTAAAAGCACTGGCTACTCTTGCAGAGGACCAGGGTTCAATTCCCCATACCCAGATGGCAGCTAACAACCCTCCAGTTCCAGAGGGTTGGACACCCTCTACTGACCTCCTCGGGCATTGCACAATACAGGTGCACTTACACACATGCAGGCATAATACTCATATCATAAAATAAAAATAATAAAAAATATTTAAAAGAGGGGGGATCAAATGGCTTAAGGTGAGTGTGCTAACTTCTCTGGTGGAACCAAGCCAGTAAGAGGAGGGGCTGTGGAAATCAGGGCAGATGTTCCATGGGTCAGGTCATGTGGGCCCTTCTAGGCTGCATAAAATAGAGTGGGAAAGCAATTTAGAGAGGCAGGAATAGAAGGGATAGAGGTGGTGAACATCATGAAGCCAGGCTACGTGAGAGACGAAGCAGTAATGCTATGCTAGCAGCAGCGGAGGAGGGGAGGCGTGGTCAAACACTGAGTCCACTGCCAGGATCTGCTGAAGAAGTGAATGCGGAGTACGGAGTACGAGAGGCAGTATGGAGACAAGGGAGCTTTCAGTGTTCTTTGCTTGGTTTGTGGGGGGAGGGGGTTGTTTGCTTAAGAAGACACCTTTTTAGAGTAATTTCAGCTACGGGGCTGGAGAGATGGCTCAACGGTTAAGAGCACTGGCTGCTCTTGTAGAGGACCCGGGTTCCATTCCTGGCACCCACACGGCAGCTAACAACTGTCTATAACTCCAGTTCCAGGGGGATCCAATACCCTCTTCTGACCTCTGTGGCATTGCACAACTCGGGTGCACTTACATGCAGGCAATACACTCATACACATAAACTCAAAATAATAAATGAAATTTTTTTTTAAAGAATAGTTATAGGCTGGGCATGGTGGCGCACACCTGTAATCCCACCACTCAGGAGGCAGAGGCAGGCAGTTCAAAGCCAGCCTGGTCTAAAAGTGAGTTTCAGGACAGCTGGGGCTACAGAGAGACCCTGTCTCAAAAAGACATATATTTATGTGTGTGTGTGTGTGTGTGTGTGTGTGTGTGTGTGTAATCTGAATATTGTTAAAGGCATTGTTCTACAACTTTTTTTTTAATAGGAAAAATTCCCTTGGGTAGTTCCACATCTGAAGTTCTTTTTCCGAGTATCATGTGACTGGCAATTCCCTTTTATTCTAACATTGTAGAGTTACATAAATCATTTACTTATACAATATATATAAGTAAGCAATCAAAATAGCAACTTTGCTTGTCTAGGAGCATGAGATTGTAGAAAGCTTTTTCTCTTCTTCGCATTATTATTACTACTATTATCATTAATTAGTAAATGAGTGTGTGATATCTGGGGGAGGGCATGCAGTCAACAGTGAAAGTGTGTGGGGAGGTCAGAGGACAACTTTTTGGAATTAGTTGCCTCCTTTCTTTTATGTGAGTTTCAGGCATCAAATTAAGCTCTCCAGGCTGTCATGGAAGCACTTTTACCATCAGAACAATCTAAGGACGCATTCTTTTTATGAAAAAAATTAAGTGAATTTGTAGAATTTAAGACAATGTATTTTGATCATATTTATATCCCCTCCTGCATCTGCACCCCTCTTAATGTCCCCATCTGATTTCATTTACTCTGCCATGTATATTAATACCTATAGAGTGAAATTTGTGTCCCAAAATGCCCTTCAGGATGGTTCATTCACTGGAGCCTTGTTAACCTACCAAAAGCCACACCCTTAAGAGAGACTGACTCTCCTCTTCCCAGAAGTCATCAGTTCCAAATAGCTCCTCAGGTAGGGTTGGGATTTCTTACTTCCCCACATCTATGCCGGGATTTTGTTTGGTTTGAACTTGCTTGGGACTTGTGCATGCTGTCATCATTGCTGCGGGTTCATATGGGTAACTGACCAGCTGTCTGGAAAATTTTGTTTCCTTGTGGTCACCTCTTCAATGATCCCTGAGCCTTTGGAGGCAGAAGTTTGATGTAGGTGGCCTATTCAGGGATAAGCATTCTGAAGTCTCTTATTCTCTGCACACTGGCCAGTTGTGGATTTCTGTGTTGATCACCATCAGCTGCAAAAGCGTCTCTGTTGAGAGGTGAGAGATGTTTTTATCTATGGGTATAACAATAAGTCATTAGAGTTCATTTAATACTATATCTACTTAGTAGGATAATAGTATTAGACTCTCCTCTATGGCCTACAGCCTGTGTAGCCACATGTTCCTAACCCTGATATTAATGTTGGGTATGAGCTTCATCCTATGAAGCAGAACTTAAATCTAATTATAAAGTGATTGGTTATTCCCATCACAGTCCTGCCACTTTTGTACTGGAGGTCATATCTTGCCAGGCCAGTTGTTGAAGTGTGCAGGATTCACAGCAAGGTAAGGTTAATGATTAATTTTTTCTTCTGATAACATGCATAGCACCTTCCTGTACTATGTAAGCTAGCCAGGAGAAATGAGGCTTTGAAGTCAGCACCAGCTTTATTGCTCCTTATGTTTTCTACAGCTCATGTATGTAGTGTCTTCAAAAACAGAGTCTTACCATCCAGTTCTGGTGGGTAAACAAGAGCAGGGGCAATGTCCAGTATTGTTTGAGGGTCTATGGGATCCCCTGATCAACAGCTTCAAGGGAGGGAGTCCATCCCCAGCACTGGGCTTTTACTTTGCTAGCCAATGGTAGGTGTTTAGTAGGGGCAATGTTTCCCTGTTACAAGGTAACTGCTTTAAATCCTTTATATGACTATGCTACAAGGAGTTTCTATAGTAGTTAGTTTCCATATGGCTTTTTCTAATGTTAGAAATCCCTCCCTATACTTCCTCCTCTGCCCTGCCCTCCCATTCCCTAACTCAATTATCTCTTCTTACTCTAGTATTTCCTCCCCCCTCTATATCACTGCATTATATCTACCCTCCCATGAAGCCCCCAGCCCCCACTTGGCAATTTGTTTCCTGACCTCTCTGGATGGACTCATTGCTCTGGAACCATAAGTCCAAATAAACTCTTTCTTCTATAAATTGCCATGGCCATGATGTTTTATCACAGCAACAGAAAAGTAACTAATTACACTAGCCCATTAATGTGTGCCCTAATCTTTATTATTTCTTGCCATCTACTGACTGGGTTTGGGATTGGCTTCTTATTTTCCTAGAGCCTTATTTACTTGAAATCACTTTTAGTATGAACACATAGCTATAAACTTTCCTATTAGAACTGTCTTAATTATTTCCCAGAGAACCTGGTAGGTTGCAATATCATTTTCATTTGTTTTTAGGAACTTTCAATTTCTTCTCTAATGTCCTCAGTAGAAGAGTTTTAGGTTCACAGAACAATTGAGAAAAAATTTTAGAGAGTTCCCATATAACTTACTGTATAAATGAGGTAGTTCATAGAGTACAAATAACTGTAAAATGGGGGAAACATATAGTCAATCTAGTTTTTTTTTAATTATAAATTTGGTTGTTTAAAATGCCTATTGCCTTCATCTGTTACATTCACTTCATTAGGCCAGACAGCATCCTTGATTTCTTGAATTTTAGGTATATTACTCTTAATATGTGTCATGTTATTCTAAATACAGAGGCTTAAAGAATAATGAAAAAATCAGATCAGGATCATCATGACTACTAGATTTTTACGATAAGATCCAGGAGTTTTTCCTTAATGTCTTTACCAGCATTCCCCTCTCCTGGCTACTACTTAGCCTCATCTACATCAGATCCTAAGAAGCCTTCCCTAGTGATATGGAACATTAATAATATTAATAAATAATATGTGACTTCCACATGCAAAAAAAATGTGATGCTTGGCCAACGGGGGAACTGCAGAAGCTACACCTTTTACTGAACCTTCTGTCAGGCTGATTAGCTGATTAGAATTTCAAAGATTGTGGAGAGGTTGGATGTTGCAGGTCCAGAGTCTAATTAGAATTTATCTTGGGCTGTCTTTAGCCCTCATGATTAGCCAGCTCCTTTCCCACTGCTGTGTCTGATCTAACATCCTTATGAGGACCAGGTGGAACTTTTTGAAATGTATTAACTTAGCAGATCACTAGCTTCACCAACCAAAAAGCTAAGAGTGCCATTAAAGAGTGTCTGAGACCTATGACAGAGGTTTTTCCGATTTGCTGTAACCTGCCACTCTGGTGTTTCCATCGATGTATTTGAAAAATTTCTTGATTTATGACTTTGTTCTGTTACCATCAAAACATCATGAAACTGTCTATCCTGGAACATGGAATCTGGAGTAACTTAAATCTGTGTTCCCAGACCATGGTCATTTATATTTGACTCCAGAATAAACCATCCATTATCCTATGAGTGAGAGTTGTGCTTTTGTACATCAGCACTGCCCAATTTTCACTACCAATAACTTTTAACATAAGTATTGCACATAGATTATAAGGGAAAACTAATATTGCTCTGTCATTAAATCCATAGTTTTATCCAATTCCCTTAATTTTAACTTTATTCCTTTTACTGTTCCAGGATCTCGTGAGGGTACTAATGAGAAATATATAACTGGACAATATCCACAGCTTATAGAAAAATAGAACTCCAACCTACAACTCACAGCAACCTGTTTAGTAAGCCAAATGACCAGCTCTATAGCAACTGATCCTAGTCATCCAGAATTTGGTAACAAATATCTGTGATTTTCATTCCAGTTTCTGACTTAGGTCCAACTACAGAGAGCCAAAAGCATCTGTAATTCATCACACAGGATGCTCTGCTTCTTGCTAGCCACATCCAGCAGGCTCCAATTAGAATACACCTGGAGCTTTCCAACTCCTCTGAGTGGTGCCTTTGATTGAGTCTGGGCCAAACCTGGTGATGGTGGTCCAGTCTTTTGCTATAACAAGTTCTGCATACACAGACCTGTCTTGTTCTCTTTGGGTTCACTTGGTTTCCATGCCACATTGCAGTTACTTGTCATTGTCTTCGTAGGATCCTCTTGGTTTTAACAGCTTGTCAGCTTTCCTTTGTTTTCAATGACCCCTAGGGAGAAAACATTTACAACACTTGGTAATACCCTATTACGTAGTTTAACAGTACTTCTTAGCTGCACGGTTTCTTGTTCAAAGGAAAATGTCAGATCTTTAAAAACAGAACAAAACAAACAAAAAAAGCCAAACAGACAATCAAAAAGTATTTGTCCTGTCTTCACTCCTACATGAGGGAGTGAAAGAAAATTCTGAGGACTTTAGGCAATATGTGTACTGCACACAAATCAATATGAAATTCAACTCCACTAAAAACAGTTCAAAGAGTACTCCCACAAGTAAAAATCTGAATGTAGTAACTCTAAACGCAGCTCACAAATGGGTAGGGAATACAAACATGTACTCCCAACAATAACACAGTGAAAAAACTATGGTGGAAGAAAACTTGGAGCTGGCAATTGAAAAATGAGAAGTACTTTCTGGCAGAAGACTGAATGGGAAACATGTATTTCAGGTACAGGCCTGGGAGGAGCACAGATATGTGGCTTCAGGCCTGGGCCTGATCCTTGTGGCTTGTGCCTGAGCCTTGGACTATGGAGCAGACTATAGAACAAGGGGACGAGTCTAGCAAGAAACAGGAGGTTGAATTTTTAAGATTTTGCCATGTGGAAAACAAAGGGTCTGTTATGGTTTGTGTTGGGGATCCTTGTTGTGTAAAGTAGCAGTCTCTTCATGTCCTGATAGCCCATGGGCTCGGCCTCATATGCAGAGATTCCTTTTTCAGCAGGGTGCCTTCCTGGCATCTTCCTGACTCATCTTTCGAAGAAGCCATCACAGAAACATGGCCTCCCACTCTGGTTTTCCTGTGTGATTTTCAGGCAGTCTGGCAGGAGCCCACTTCCCTATGTAAATGAGGCATCCTAAAAGTACCTATCAGCTAAGGTTTTTACTACCACCCCCATAGTATAAATATCCTGGTTTCCCCCAATTAATCGGAGCTGGATCACAGAGACTTGGAGCCGAGCTAAGTCACTGAATAAAAGGGCTGTGCCACTGACTGAGCTGAGTTCTGTGTCTTACTGCCTACGATCCAGCCTCCCTGGGGGCGCTATCCTTCCGTCATTGACTCACGGAAATCCAGCTTCAGCCTTCCCGCACCTCTCCTCGAGACCCGGCAGCTGACGGGCCGAACTCAGAGAGAGAGTGCACGGGTGAAATTGGGACAGAACCCGACCGGGCCAGCCCCAGTAGCAGAGACCCACAGCAATGCGGTGCGGGACCGCGTGCACCCCAGCGACGTGTGGGAGACCGGTGCCACGCCCAGCAGCTGGCGCCCCGAGATTCCCGCACGCCCATATCACAGCGGAGAAGCAGGGGCCCGCCAGCAACGCAGAGCAGACGGCCCCGGGACCTGCCGCTTTCCAGGTGGGCGCAGGGGACCGGCGCCACGCTAGCAGCTGGCGCCCCGAGATCCCTGTGCACCCCATAGTTTGGATCCAAAATGTCCTCAACAGCCATGTGAGGCTTGGTCACCAATCTGTGGTGCTTTGGGGGGCGGGGTGCAGTTGTTAGAGGAGAAGACTTATTGGAGGAAGTAAGAGATGATGAGGTGCTTTTGAATGGGCTATTAAGGACCTACCACCCCCACCTCCCCGCTTCTTGGCTGTCATGAGTTGAGCATCTTTGCTCCACGGGCTGCTCCCCACCATGATGTTCTGCCCCACCAGAAACAATGGAGTTAAGTAACCATGAAGGGAAAGGTCTGAAGCTGTTAGCCATAACCAATCTTTTCTCCTTTAAGATGATTTTCTCAGTAATTTTCTCACAGCAACTAAAAGCTAACACAGGGTCATAGAACTGTTCATGAATACATATATATTAAGATGAATTAGCTTTTCTTTAAGGAAAATTAAAACGGAACTGTGATAATGATGGTTATATGTGTGGGGACAATAAACAGGTATTGAAGCTCATCTGTGAGGAACATATAGCTTAATATCTCTGTAACTACACTAATAGGATATACCATTGGGGATGGAAACATGGCTCAGTCAGTAAAGTGCTTGCCTTACAAACATGTGAGCTGATTTAATCTCTAAAGGCCACGTTTAAAAAATGCCCTGTGTGGTAGTACATACTAGTAATCCTTCCCAGTGCTGGGGAGGAGACAAGTGGGTCCTGAGGCTTGCTGGACAGTCAGCCTGTCCCACTAGGTGAATTCTAGTCTAATGAGAGACCCTGTCTCAGGAAAAAAAGTGGGCAACCCCTGAAGAACAACAATACATACTGTCCTTCAGCATCTATATACACATGTACACGCATGCATATGCATACATAGATGTGCATATACATGAACACAAAAACATGTACACACAAAACATCAAATTGGAATGATTTTGAGAATAAAAGATGGTTATTCTTTTTAAAAAATATTTTATTCATCATTTTTATTCTATCTGTATAAGTGTATTGCCTGCTTGTAGGTGGGTGCGCTCGTGTCATGTAATACCCATAGAGGTCAGAAGAGGGTGTCAGAATCCCTGGAACTGGAAGTAAGATCTCTGGAGTTATGGATGGTTGTTAGCCACCATGTGGGTCCTGGGAATCAAACCCAGGTCCTCTGCAAGAGCAGCCAGTGCTCTTAACCACTGAGCTATCTCTCCAGCCCAGAGATGTGGGAGTATCTCAGACAAACTGAGAATTAGTCACATAATTACTTTTAGTTGACAAGCTTACCTACAAAGATTAATTTAGAAGCTACAACTCTGGGGGATGGAGAGATGGCTCAGTACTTAAGAGCACTTGTTGCTCTTACAGAGGACCCATGTTCAGTTCCCAGCACCCACACAGGGCAGTTCACAATATCTGTAACTCCAGTTCCAGGGAAACTGATCACCTTTTCTGGACTTTTCGGGCAATTGCACACATATGGTGCACAGACATACACTCAGGCCGGCAGAGGCAGGTGATCTCTGTGAGTTCAAGGCCAGCCTGGTCTACATAGCTACAGGGAGATCCTATCTCAAAAAAAAAACAAAAAAAAAAAAAAAACCCTGAAATAAAACACTATCAGGTTTCTGCTCAAACCCCTCCACTTGCATCTGGTTTCTTTCAGAACCAAACCAACAGGCTTTGTCATGGCCCACAGGCTGAATTTCACCTGGCTTTTGCTGTCTCTGTCCTCATTTTTCACCAATCTCTGAGTTCCTCTGCACTAACTCTGTATGGCTTCCTTCTGTCCAGGTAACCATAGCCTCCTTGGTGACAAGTTTCTGCTCAAATCTCACCTGCTACAGGAAGCCTTGTCACATTTCGTTTGTGTTTTCTTGTTGATTTTCCAGCTGGAAGCCTCTCTCCCAGTCAAGGAAAGCTAAGTATTAGGACCTCATCTGTCTTGTTTATTACAGCATCAGCCACACCAGTGCCCTCAGCACAGGGCTGCCGCTAATTAATATTTGTTAAATAATGAAGAAATCAGCATACTTTGTTGCTATTAAGGGTGTCAACCAAAATGATGGCGATGGTATCTACGTTCAGCGCCACCCCAAACAACAGTTTGCCGAGAGTAACCCAGAAAGTCACCTACACACATTCTGAGTGGATAAGTCACCAACAGAGGGAACAGCCCACTGTAGTGCAGAGCCAGATCTGCAGTCAGGACACTGTTAAATAGTGTTAGTTTTCAGTGAGATATTTTAGAGTGCTTAAAGTGTCCAAGTTCACGAGCTATAATGTTAAATCTATGTAGTTTCTGAAAGAAATTTGAGAACTACAACAAAAAGCGACAAATTTTCTTATGTTGGACACAGTGCAGTATAAAAGTTCTTTCTTCCACCTTATTTGATTTGACCGTGTTCCTTCTCAAACCCAGGTCCTCTGCAAGAGCAGCCAGTGCTCTTAACCACTGAGCTATCTCTCCAGCCCAGAGATGTGGGAGTATCTCAGACAAACTGAGAATTAGTCACATAATTACTTTTAGTTGACAAGCTTACCTACAAAGATTAATTTAGAAGCTACAACTCTGGGGGATGGAGAGATGGCTCAGTACTTAAGAGCACTTGTTGCTCTTACAGAGGACCCATGTTCAGTTCCCAGCACCCACACAGGGCAGTTCACAATATCTGTAACTCCAGTTCCAGGGAAACTGATCACCTTTTCTGGACTTTTCGGGCAATTGCACACATATGGTGCACAGACATACACTCAGGCCCACACACATACACATAAAATAAAAAATGAAAGAAATTATATCTGTGGGTCAATTTTTAGGTGAATAGTTAAGCAACAGTTTAAAACTCAACAAAGAAATGTAGACACCATGTCTAAGTGTCATACTGAAGGTTAACTGTTAATTAAGTAGGTGCTTGAGGCGGGATTTCAATCCAGGCCATTAGGTACAAAAATTAATACTAATCTATAATTATATTACCTTTCAGGTTTTAATTCCTAGCTTATTAGATTCCTAAATTTGAACTTTAGAAGAATAATTAATCATTTTTCACTACAAGTATGTGCCGTGAATGTTTGAGGCAAACTTTATTCTCTTTCCTAGCTGCTCAAACAACTTACATATCATCTCCACAAGGTTGGATATGGGTCTGGGCCCCTGACCTCCACATCTAGGCCAGTACAGCAGCTGCTGAAGTGTCTGATGTAGTCATGTGTCATGCTCTAAGCAGAGTCCATCACTTGAAGCCAGGATTAGTGCTGTCTCTGCTCATGGTTATGCTGCCCATGCCCCATCAGCCCCATCGTACCCTGCGAATACTCTTTTTGGATATTCTTATGAATATTATGAACATTAAGAACTGTCTTAAAAATATTTAAGAACAGTTCTATTAACTCTAATTGAGCTAGAATAAAGAGAGACTCAAATTGGAATTAGTTTTGTTGGTCTATTTTATTTTTTGATCTTTTTGAGACAGGGTCTCCCTGTAGCCAGAGATGGCCTGGAACTTGCTATGTAGACCAAGCTGGCCTCTCTCTTATGGAGATCCACCTGCTTCTGCCTCCCGAGTGCTGGAATTAAAGCTGTAGGCCACCATGCCTGACAGT